AAGGGGAAGCAGCCAAAAATTAAAATAAGAAGATTCTAGTTAAAGGCACTCAGTTTTTCATCATTTCAACATAGTAACTCAAAAGTATCATGAAAGCAAGTAGGGAAAAAAATGAACCAAGGGAACACAAATATGAAATTCACTTAAAAAGCTTTAGCAGGAAAACACTAAAGGCAGCATGCTCCAAAGACGCATGAATACTTTAAACATCTGACTTTCAGACTAAGTTGAACAACTTTAAACTAATCTTCTCTAGCTTAAAATTGTGAGCTGTCAGATGTTTTTTTAGAGGACCATCTATGTATGAATTCCCCACTTGAATCAAGAAACCTATAATTTTGTCTGACAGAATTATTTCATTAATTTCAACTTAAAACAAAGGCAGATTGACTTAAAAAAAAAAATCTAAATTCCACAGAGCAAGAAAAAAAGTCTGGCAGTTATTTAACAAAAGCACAAAGAAAAACTAAAAATTGAAGACTAAATGAATTTTAGAGTCACGTCCTGTATCCTGCAATTGGGTACTCCTCCCATTGCAGACAGTTGTGATGTCCCTCCTTTCAAAGAAAAAAAGAAAAAGAAGAAAAAAGGACTATTATGGGACTTCTGTTATACTTAAATTCTTTAAATGCAATGTCTGAAGCTCACATCATGTCAGAATTCCATCCAGTTTCCCATGTTTTCTCAGAAATAAGTACACCCATTAAAAAGCTATTAATGTGTTCTTGCAATAAGTGGTAAGTTTTACCCAACAAGCACATAAGTGGGTGGCAGCTCGACCTGGAAAGCTATGGAGGACTTGGACCATGCTTATTACCTGCTCTGCCTTTTCCACTTAAAGATGAGTAATCAATTCACTACACCAAAATCACTGCACAGGGGAGAGGAAAAAAAAACAAACAAAAAGCCCTCTTGCAAGAAAGACTTAAGGATTTCAGTCTTTTCTTATTTCTACCATCTCTGCATGGATAGCATCTATGAAAATCTCCACACACTTGCTTTGTTCTTTTGCAAACAGTGCTTCAGAAGAGCAGTATTTTCCAACTCCCACAGGGTGTTTAGCTATTTCTTCCTGGAAGGCCAGAGCCTGTTTGCTGTCAAATGTGTTATAGCACTGCTTCTTGAATAGTGGTCTTAAACGGTTCCCAAAAACAGAAAAAATACTTTCTTCAGTCAAAAGGAAATGAAAAATACATAGAATTCCAGAACATCTGGGGTTGAACCAGGTGGTTATTTCCAGAACCTGAGGTTGGACCAGAAGATCTCCAGAGGCCTCCTCCAGCCTTAACCATTCTGGGATTCTGCAAATGCTGGCAAAGTCATCCTAGTCTGAAAAGTACTAATTGAAGGGAAGAGCTAAAAAACAAACTATTTAATCTCTTCAAAACTCTATACAGATTGACAGCCATTTTTTATCATCATATTATCTAGTTTTAACAAGGATATGGTTCCCAATGTGCTAAATGATCTTTGAGTAGAAAGCATTTAATCTTTATAGCATTTGGAAAACAACATTTTTCAACTAGACATTTGAGCAATTTGTAATTCCAAGTATAGTTTTCCAGACTTAATCACCAGTAAGTCACTTAAATACATCAATTATCATTGACTCAAGATGCTGATTTCACAATTAATAAATTCCAATAATTACTTCTCTCATATGTTTTAAATTGCCACACAGAATCTCTAGACCGGGAGGCAGATTTTCATCCTGATGATAAACACTGCCACAAAAAACAGTCAGTTTAGACACGTCCTTGTGATATTTCTTCTTAACATACCTATGCTGTTTAGCCCTCATTTTCAGTCAATCTAAATTAACATTTTCTAGTCTTTGTTTCCTAGAGTAAAAAGCAGTAGATGAATTAAATTTAATATTTACTTGTTTTCCCACTACTTGAAATAAAGCATTTCCCAAGAGTGCTGCTAGAAGTATTATCTGGTAGATTCTCCAAGACCTGAATACAACAGTCCTGTCTTCACAGCACTGGCCAGATGTCTAAAGAAACTACAGCAATAGAAGAACAGCAAACTGAATTGGTGAGATTGTTATTTCTGTGCTTCAGTTTCTACTTGAACAGAAATAAGAATACTTCTCTATTTCATGGAGCTCTACTAAAAATGGACATACTAATCTACCACATGAAAAATATTACGCTGGGGTACATCCCATCTCCCCAGCACTATCACCTCTCAGCATTTGGAAGTACTTATCTGTAAGAATTGGAAGAGCCAAGGCTTAAGAGACAGATTTGGCACAAGTGGAATCCAGAAGCTGGTATTAGGTGCCTGAACATGCGGGGTTTGAACAATGCATTTCAAATTGTGTTGCGAGTAGGAGTTCCCAAACTAAGCTTATCTATCATCACCAGTGATAACTGCTTCAAACAAGCACAGAAGCACCCTCAAGTTCCCAAATCCAGACAGCAACCCTACACCTCTGACTCACTTTGCACAATCCAATGCCTCACACTGAGCCACCACACATCCTTCATCCTCCTCTTCTCGTTACATTCCTCAACCTGCAAAACAGGGACGCCACTGCTTCACTTACTCTTTCAACAGTTTCTTTCTCCCCACTTACTCATGCTGAAGCTTATCTCCAGATAAACATGGCTGGCTGGCAGGACTGCCAGAACAGCTCACTGCAGAGGTGACTGCTTTGTACATCACAAGCTATGGCCAAGTCACTTGTTGGGTAGGAAGCTCCTAAAAGAGGCAGCACCTGGAGAAGAAAAACTACCAACTGAGATTCCGTACCACCACAATCTTTCATCCAACCCTGGTGGCATGCTTAGCTATGGAAAACTCCATCCTGCAGCACAGGAAGCACTTCTAAAGCCTTTCCCTTCTACTCATTTTATGTCTGGTCAGAAAGGGCTGGCAGTGCACCCTCAGCACTGACAGGACTTCTGCATTGAAGGTATAGTGCTTTGATTCAATCCCAGAAAGATCTAGACAAAAATGTTATGTTTACTTGGAAAAGGTAGTTTACACTTAAACCAAAATTTCCCAGGAAAGAACTTAAATTACCTGCTAAAGGTTACAGAGACATCCTCCAGTCTTCCTGCAAAAGCTGTGCACCATGCCTGAAAGGGACACGAGGCTCCCACTCTAAGCAGTACCAAAGAAAGCCAGACTTTCAGTTTTGCCATTAGGAGACTTCTCTGGAAACTCAGAGACCTGGATTTCAGTCCTCTTTAAGCCTTTTTATGCATTTTTTTAATATTAAATAACCATTTAGTGGAAACTATACTGGCAACAGCTATCTTAACTGCTTCTTACAATTCGCTTCAGAGTTGAGTGAAGGTCTACATTTTCCTCCCTCAGCTGGCCCTGTAAATACATCATTCATTCCTGTAAAGTAAATCAACTTCATCAGGTGGAATGAAGGGCTTCCCTCGCTTAGTTTGGTCTGGTATGTGGTTAGACCAGGGAAACAGAAAATTGAAGCCTGTATCTCAACTTGAAGAGGAAATTTCACCTAGCTTTTCTACTTCTTATGAAAAGCAACTCTCTACTTATATAAGAACACAAGGACACCTTCACCAAAAATAACAGCAGGGACAACACGTAAAATGTAAAGAGGTTATGAGACCTCACTGATCCGTTTTCAGGTACAATTCAGAGATGGTTTTGCACCAATATAAGCAAATCCTTGTTTTTTCCAGGTACGTGTCCTCCAGAATCCCTGGGTAAATCAGACTGTGATTACCTGTCCCTCAGTAAGGATTAAATGCCTTTGTGCAGCTGTAAATTATATATAAGGACTACTTGCACAGATGCACATCTGTGAATATGCATTCTTCCAGTTCAGCTTGCACCTCTATTACTGGTTAAAATGGCAGTATATCACGTCTTAGACATTGCCTGCTAGCTCCAGCAAGCTCTGAAACAAAACAACAACAAACACACCGTAAGCTAAGTTGGTTAGGGAGCATCTGGTACACTTTCAATGTTAAAAAGTGAGTTAGAAGATGTGGTTTCAGCAAGTCAACTGCATTTCCCTTCCAACTGCAACTCACTTGCAGACATAAGGACGGGCTAGAACCAGGATTTCAGCTGCTTTTAGGTTACTTTGCATACAGGAAATCTAGAATTAAAGCGTTGCTGGTATGTCTTTCACTAGGAGCCTCACTGAAAGCCAGAAGTTGAAGCCTTGCAGCACAAGACACAACAGAAGAAGAACAAGAGTGGCATTCAGACCTACCCGAGCAGTGCTGAGTCAACGTAAGCATGGAAGTAGCAGTCACTTTCTATTCTGCTTCAGCATCTACAGATGTCAGCTCGGGTCTGAGCGCGGCCGCCCCGCTGCCAGGCACGGCACTCAGACACCGCCTGAGCTCGCAGCACTGACTAAGCAGGGGGAAACCAAAGGCTAACGAGTGAATAACGCCTACCTTCGCTACTCGCGGAAAAACCTCTTCTGTAACGTGTGCGTGCACGGCAAGGATCGCAAAGGTAAAGAAAACGAAGTGATTTTGAACTCAACATAGAAAATACGTGACATCAGTCTCGATACCCCCTACGAAAAAGTTAGGGCGCGTATTAAGAACGCAGAAAGTTGCAACCCCTCCCGAAGGCCTGGGCCCTGCCTGCCCTTTCCCTGCCCAGTTTCACCACGGCACAGACGGACGCGCGGTGCCAGCCCTACGGCGGCTGCGGTCCAGAACGGGTTGCGGAACGAGAAAGCCAGGCCGGTGCCCCATCCCCACTCGAGGCCGGCTCCCGCGCCGCTCCCTCCCCACGGCCGGCGGCAGCGCCGTGCCCGCGGCGGAGCGCCCGGCGGCGTTCCCGCGCCGCGCTTCCTCCGGCCGCCCGGCAGCGCGGCGCCGACGGCGGCGGGGGCTCCGCCGCGGGCCCACACCCGGCACGGCGGCCGCGGGGAAGCGCGGAGAGCGCGGGCCCCGCCTGCGGGCAGCCCCCCCCCCCTCCTCAACCCCGGCCGCGGGGGGCACGGCGGCTCCCGACCCCCGCCCGGCCCCGCGGGGACACGGCACCTCTTGACGCGGATGATCTGGTCGCGCATGGGGCGGATGTCCTGGAAGCTCTGCTGGTTGACCAGGCTGTAGACCAGGATGAAGCCCTGCCCGTTCTTGATGTAGAGGTCCCGCATGGAGGCGAACTGCTCGGTGCCCGCCGTGTCCAGGATCTCCAGCACGGAAGGCGACGCGTCCACCTCGATCTCCTTGCGGTAGAAGTCCTCGATGGTGGGATCGTACTTCTCGATGAACGTGCCGGTCACGAACTGCACCGTGAGCGCCGACTTCCCCACCCCGCCCGAGCCCAGCACCACCACCTTGTACTCGCGCATCCTCCCGGCGAGGCGCGGACCGCCCGCCGCCGCCCGACCCGCACCTGCCGCCGGCCCCTCCTCACCCCCCCGCCATACGGCCGCCCCCGCCCGCTCCGCGCCGCTCCCGCCGGGTGCTGCCGGCCGCGGGGCCGCGCTCCCGGGCTGCGGCGCGGGTGAGGTGGGGCGCCCGCCCCGCCCCGCCCCCTCCTTCCCCGGTCGCCACGGCAACAGCCAACCGGGCGGCGCGCGCCGCCGCGCGCGGAGGGGCGGGGCGGGGTGGAAGAAAGAGCGGGGAGGAGGGCGTCACGTGGCGCGCCCCGCCGCCTCCCCCGCCCGGAGGCGCCGGCCAACGGGCGAGCGCGGCGGCGGCACGTGACGCCGAGGAGCGGCGGCGACTCGGCGGGCGACGGTTTCCTCCCGGCCCTCGCCCTGCGCTGTCGCCTTGGAGACAGCGGCCCCGCCCGCGCCCCCCGAGCCGCTCCGCGGGCCGGCTCCGCGACACGCGCTTCCCGCGGGGCCAATGGGCGGCCGCGCCGCTGTCACGCGGCGGGAGAGGGGAGCCAATGGCAGCGAGGGATGGGGGCGAGCGGGGCGGGGCGGGGCCGCGGCCGGAAGTGCTGGTCGGGGGCGCGTGGCGCCGGGGTCGGGGTGGTTGTGCTGTGGTGGCTGCAGTGTGAGGCTCCAGTACCGTGAGGCTCTCGGAGCTTTTATTTTTGCTTTCTTAACCATCGCTGGTTGTGATCGGACGTGGAGAGGAGGGACTTTGTTCCCATTAGGAACATTGTGGCTCAGCCAGAGCCGCCGGTCCGCTGCTCTGAACGCTGTTGGAAAAGGGCTCTCCTGGGGCTGCGCCTCTCATCGAGCTCTTCTTCCTTTTGCGTTGTCGCCTTTGTGCCTTTTCCTCTCTGCTTTTCTTTTGGATCTGCAGAGCTTCAAAACGAGCTTATCTCGGTAGGATGCCCACAGATTTATTCTGCCTAGAAGAGAGAAGTGCCCATAGAATCATAGAATGGCCTGGGTTGATAAAGGACCACAACGATCATCTAGTTTCAAACCCCCTGCTGTGTGCAGGGTCACCAACCACCAGACCCGTGTATTAAACTGCCAAAGCAAAAGCACGGCCGCACACATTTTGTGATGTAAATACGTAACATAACAAAGGTACGAAGAATTCCTACGGGGCTCTCAGGATCCAGTTGGAAATGGCACTGAACCTGGAATTAGTAATATTTTCAGGGAATAATCTCATTTCTGTTAGCGACTTGAGAACTTCAGGTAATAAAACAGCCCACACAAGAACATGCAGTAGCACAAACTGCAAGATACTGCGTGCATGGGCTAATGGGTATTTGCACCATAAATCAAGGAGCTCTCTGGCAGAGGACTGGGAAAATACCCAGGTTTATTAGTCAGTGGTGAAAGGAAGCTAAGAATTTGAATCGCAGTCGCAAAAAAAGCCCCACAGATGTGACTGATGGGCATCAGGTCAAACCTCTGAGTTGCCAGTGAGACATTACTGCGTTCTGGACTGACAAACCTTGTCCTGGAAAAGGAACCTGTACAGAAATACACCCAGGAGGGTTACTGGAGCTGAGCAAAGCTTATCTACAAGAATATACTTGGAATGTTTGTCTGGCTAAAGCAGCAAAAGCAAACGTGGAGGAGCTGCTGATAACAAATAAGCGAGGGCACGATTAAGAAGTGGCTATTGAAGCTAATAAACAAGGTTGATAGAACAGCGTGGATCTAAATTGTAAATATAAGTGGAAAGTGAAGGTGTCATCAGACTGGGGGTTTGGCCTTGCATTCAGAACAGTAAAAGATGAATGTATCTAACAGGCTTTGTAATGTGTTGTGTTTCAGATGACGTGCCATCATGCCAAAAAAAGGATTTACGTGTCTGTGCAGAAGGAGGAGATTTGGCCCTCCCTTCTTACACATCCCTTAGACTAGATAGACTAGAGCACTTTCACAGAATCATAGAATGGCCTGGGTTGGAAAGGACCACAATGATCATCTAGTTTCGACCTCCCTGCTGTGTGCAGGGTCGCCAACCACCAGACCAGGCTGCCCAGAGCCACATCCAGCCTGGCCTTGAATGCCTCCAGGGATGGGGCATCCACAACCTCCTTGGGCAACCTGTTCCAGTGTGTCACCACCCTCTGTGTGAAAAACTTCCTCCTAATATCTAAGCTAAACCTCCCCTGTCTCAGTTTAAAACCATTCCCCCTTGTCCTATCACTATCCACCCTCATATACAGCCGTTCACCTCCTGTTTGTACGCTCCCTTCAAGTTCTGGAAGGCTGCAATGAGGTCTCCCCACAGCCTTCTCTTCTGCAAGCTAACTTCCCTGATGTTCATTCGTTCTCAGGGAGAAGCTGCTGATTGTTGGTTTATGGTGAGGAGGGTGATCAGAGTGAAGATGCAGCAGGAGCGCTCAGACTGCACAGATTCACGCCATCTGGTCATTCTGGAGATGGTCAAGTTTCCTAGGCAGTGAGGCATTTTGTCATTTAATGATAGTGGGATGATGTGTGCAGGGACCAAAGAAACAGAAAAATGGGATGCACGGGAACAGCTTTTATGGCTTGGAAGACGGTAAAGGAATGGGGCAAAATGGTCTGTGGGAGGAGCTGCTGGATGCCCAGAATGGATGACTGTTCCTGAGAATCTGTCACTTCACTCATCAGGCTAAAAACCTTATCATTGCCCTAGTTTTCTAGCCTTCTCCCTTGGTTGATTCTGATTCACCTGGGGAAGACGACAACGTGGAAAATTCAGCTGGTAAGTGCTGGAATTTCTGTGCTAAAAACAAATGCAGATATTAGTTATGTGTAGTTATTTTTAGTGAGTTTGAGAACATAGGGCTGCTTCAGTGCTGCCAGTTCTTTCTTTTATGCACATTGCTTATCCTTGCACTGTTCTCTACCAAATAGTTGGGAGGAAAAAGAAAAACAGTTTCAAGGAAAGAGAAACTTCCTGCCACCAAAGATTGAGCTAGACAAGGCTTGTCCAGGCAAATATCTCCATCCACATCTGACGGGCAGACAGGCCGTCTCCTTTCCCAGCACGACCTCCTTTGCAGCTTCTCAGAGCATTCTCAGGAGTTATCCAGTCCCTCTGTGCCGTGTGGCTGGAATTTTGCTGCCTTCACAGAGTTTAGAAACTTTAGGCTTCAGACAGTTTTATTGCTCACTTCTCAGGTCTTTTATATTGAGCTATCATATTTCAGACTTCAGCAGCCTGTGGCTAACCACACCGTCTTATGATAGGCTGGAGTTTCTCTATAAATATTTTCTATTTTTACGCAGAAAACAACATACTGTTGCATAAATTTTGTGCTTGCTGCTGTGGCCTCTGAGTGCATGTTAGTGTACAAGAGATGGAGAGGGCCTTTAGATCTATTTTTGTTCATTGCAGGGTAGTAGAACAATGGTTCTTGCTTACTGCCATATTTTTGCATTTGAACTGGCCTTGCTGTCATTGCACAGATTGCATGTAGCCATGCATAATTTCAGTATTTTAGGAAGCATTAACTGTTAAGGATTGAGATCATATTTACTTTTCCATCTAATACTTCTTTCCAAAATGTCTGATTAGAACTGTCCATACAGCTGTTACCAAACTCACAGTACAACTAGCTGAAGTGAAAGGTGGCTGACTTTTCTTATCCCTAGCACTTCTAGGTGATCACACTGTTAATTTCCCTTTCTTCCCTATAGTCACATTATCTCTTTTTTACCAACTATAAAATCGTAGGTGTTTGTCATCTTCATGAAAACAGAAACTTTCCAGATGAGAGCAGAAACCACATCAGGGCACTCGTGAAGTGACAGAACACTGGACCTGAGCTTGGCTGAGGTTGGTGGCAGCCCTTGATGCACAGGAGCCAGGATAGTAGGGAGCCAGAAGGGCACAGGGTAAGATTTGATGTATTGCTGGAAGATTGTGTGTCATAGAGCTATGCTGCTTGCAGGCCAGTTGGGCTTTACTATTTTTTTGGTTTGTTTGTTTGTTTGTCCTTAAGGAAATCAAAGCATTTAAGTTTTAAGGTTGTAGTGCTTGTGTTTTGCAGTGGTAGAGCCCAAGTCTTATGAGGAGTGGCTGAGAGAACTGGGATTGTTTAGTCTGGGGAAGAGGAGGCTCAGAGGAGACCTTATCACCCTCTCCAACTACCTGAAAGAGAGTTGTGGTGAGGGGTTGGTATCTTCTTCCATGTAACTAATGATAGGGCTAGGAGGGATGACACTGAAAAGGGAGATCCTAAACCATCAGACAAGATGTGCTGGCAGCTCTTTTTCCCTCATGTTAAACTGTGTATAGTCTTCATTTAAGCATCTTTGGAATCAGGAAGACAAAATTTGAACAGGTACCTGGCGTACCATGCAGATTCATGGAGTGTAAACAGACGCAGCCTGCTTGCTTAGTCTCCTCACCCTCTGAAATCCACATTGCCTCTCTGCTATACCACTATTGTAGCCTGCCTGACCCTATGCTGTGCCACTGCAGCCTCATGAACCTATAGAAAATTAATCCAGACTAGAAAAGCAACTTGTGAAATCGTTGCTAGCTGTCAGGGACTCAGACAGGACAGAGGAACAGAGTTAACTCCATCCACAGCTCAAAATGGTTTATACTCACACCTATTGCTTCCCACGAGACGGTTTTTGTTTTGAGAAGTAAAGCAAACTAGATCACATTCTGGCAGAACTAGACTGAATTAATGTGTTTTACTGTACAACTAGAGGGGACTACAAGTGTGAACGCAGTTAACTGTGGCTCTGCCAACAGATACTCATTAACTTGCTGTAGCTGTCACTTCCAATTGTGTGCTCCCATCCTCAGGGATTTTACTTTATTTTTTTTAACAATTTGAAAGACATGGAGACAATAGAAGTAGGCATACCAAAGTCTCCTCTCAGCCATAATTTAATTTTCTAATCAGAAAGGAGCATTCAGGCTTCAGTCCTGTAGGCTTGTTTTAGAGGATGACCACTTTGGTAGCTCTGCACATGGGGACAGCTTTCTGTTGTTACCATCTTATTAATGCTTTCCTGACACTACAGATTAACTGTTTGGAGGAAGGGGATCACTCA